TTCTTCACAACAAGCTTCAAAGGGACAATAACCAAAACATGTATCAGCAGAAAAATGGACAAAATGTGGCATAGTCATAAAATGAAACTGTACTCACCAATTAAAAAAAAAAAATGATAAAAATCACCAGTAGTAATTTACCTTCTATATAATTTCTGCACAAAGAAAGAGTCATATCACAATTTCTTTTTAACTTGAGACATATTTATAATTATCCCAAAACAGTTACTTATAGAATTTGAAAATTTTTTTCCTTTTAAAAGAATAGTATGGGCTTGGTCAGTGCCCATAGCTCAGTGGTTAGGGCACCAGCCACATGCACTGGGGTTGGTGGGTGTAACACACACACAAAGTGCCGGGCAATGTGGTGGATGCCTGTAGTCCCAGCTACTTGGGAGGCTGTGGCAAGAGAATCACTTAAGCCCAAGAGTTTGAGGTTGCTGTGAGCTGTGATTGCATGGGACTCAACTGAGGGTGACAGAGTGAGACTATCTCAGAAAAAAAAAAAATAGTATGGTTGTCGGTACGGCTGTTACCACACAAATTAGAAGTGTTTTTATTTCACCAGATAAATAATCTTAAGGGTAGAACTTCCTTGCTTTAAAAAAAAGTAACAGAGAAACTCTAAGGTTATTAATTTGCAAACCTACACTCAAAACAACTCTATTGTAGGTAGAGCTGCATTATTTAAAGTGGCATCTTTGGGTCTTATGCTTTCCTATGTCAGAAATTACAAACTTGATCTGTACACCAAACACTTCTTTATTAGTCTCTAGGAAGGTCTGGACTAAACCCAACTCAAAATTCTTGACCCTACTACAGGGCAACAAGGATGAACCGTTATACAGAAATGCTACACAGTGATTTTAACTTAAAATGCATTCAAACACACTTGTTTATATGTAATATGTATACGTACATACACATATGCATGTACATAAGCATAAATGGTCACATGAATGAAAGGTAAATTAAAGTTCTGTAACAGGAAAAGTACAAATAGAAAATGAGAAGATTAAATAGTAATATAACCAAGGTTGGAGTGAGATTCTAACTAAAGGTTCTTTAAGACAGAATTTATAAAAAATGGGATAGTTTTAGACAGAAAAGGGTACAGGAGAAAAAGAAATAGAAAGAAAAAGCTTCCTAGATACAAGGTATTTCCTTGAACAAAAGCACAAAATATCACAAAGGCTGTATTAAGGTAAAATACAGATAACTAGAGATATTTTTAACTCTGCACTCAAAAACCCTACCTACAAATGCAAATAAAATAGTTTACATTAAGTCAGCCACTTAAGATGTACAATACAATTTTAAAGGTGAAACAGTGGCAGATTATACATGGAAGCAATACAGGAGGAAAGAGCAAAGAGTAAACCCAGGTGCCACTTCGGCCAGGGGAAGCGTCTGCAGTGACTTTCCTGCTGCCAGGGATGTCCCACAGGTCACCAAGCCCCTTCTAACATGAGGCACTGTGACAGGATCTATGTTCCTAATTGGACTAAAATCATACCTCCTCCTAAGACCAAAAAAAAAAAAGGCAAAGATTTTGTAAGTGAGGACCCACCAAAATACTTCTGCCTGATAAGTGAGTTCACCAGAACTGCTTCCTGTGAAAATCGCTACGGCTGGGTATAGGTGGAGAGCAGGTACAGCCAGTCTCTTTAAGGCTGAGGGGTGGTTTGGGAGTGGTGGCATTAGGGGGGATACTCCGGCTACTTTACAAGACTGCGTCAAGTCAGAAAATCCTGTGTCAAATTTAAAGCAATAAGTGGTATACTGTATTATTAACAATTCTTTACTTATTTTACTATACATCTGAATGGTTATACTCTATAAAAAAAAAGGTCAAACCTCTTTAATTAAGATTCCTTAATGTAGAATTATTTCTCCTAACTTTCCATTCCATATGAAATCTACTAGCTCAAGCTTTGGGTTTACCTGGTAGAGAAGATTGCTTCCTAGGGGTTAAGACCATTAATTAAGGAATTTTTATATTTCTATTACTTAAAATATTCTATATACTTCTATTCCCTCTAGAGCACCACAGCCCTTTAATTCGTTACTAACAGGGTGTGGTGTGCCATGGAAATGACTTGAGTGCAGAGCTGATGTCAGACTCCACACCTGCCTTCCCAGACCCCCCCCCCAACCTGAGACCAGTGTGTTCACTCTCAGAGTAAAGCGGAAGAAACACTGGACAAGCGGTAACTAGAGAAGACAGGTAGTTTCTGGGTTTTAAAGGCAGCTCCCATGTGAGTCTTCCTCCTTCCTAACATTGCCCCAGGCAGCTCTGAAATGGACTCTACATGGCTCCAGGGGACAGACATACACAGGTTCCAGCTGAAAGGCAGGGAAGGAAATCTTTTTTTCTTAGTTACTACCGGTACAATTACATTTTGATTATTCCCAAGGCATTTTTCATAAATTTATATCTAGAATCAGCTTAATTTAAAGCTATTATTGACACTATTAAGAAATTCAATTATAGAAAGTCATTTTGGTAGTAATGTGGTTTGACTGCAGCCAAGTGGGAAATATTTTACATGAAAACAGGTAACTCTGTACCTGGGCTGAGGCAAGTCCGAGGTGGCCATCAGAAGGAAAAGCAGCCCTTCCTACACGGTGTCAGTCGGACACTGGTCGCCCTTCACTGCACTCTATCAACTCGGCATGCCATCCTCCCACATGAACAGAAGACACTGCTAGGTGATTTTGTAAAAGACTAGTAACTAAACAAATGAATAAATGCAGTTTCTTTGACAGATCGAATTTAAAACACGAAACCCATAAAAGAGGGTGGGGGTTCCCTGATGATGTCTATCAGTCGGAGAGTGATATTATCTAGTATAGAATGGGGGAAATAAGCTAAAATAGGAGAAAAAAGCCAGATGAGTATTAGTAGCCATTTCTGAGTCAATCCTTTGGTATGTAGGTTTTTAAAAAGTATGCATCACTTACTGTGTCAAAGTACTTTCAAATGCAAATAAAACCTCTCAGTAGCTATTTCTAATGGGTATAACTTTCACCTGAGTATCAAAATAAAAAATTTAAAAAGCAGACTCCTGCTACACAAAAAGAGGACCTACTAAAAAATTATTAATGGGGCAGTGCCTGTCACTCAAGGAGTAGGGTGCTGACCCCATATGCCAGAGGTGGTGGGTTCAAACCCAGCCCTGCCCCCCCCCCAAATTATTAATGCCATATAATCTGTGAGGAAAACTTGGGTATTGACTGTCCTTCCACAACACCCAGTAAGCGTGACGCCTGTCAGCTGTGTCCTAGTGCAGGCTTTACGCAGAGCCTTCCAGCCACGTCGGAGGCTTCCACCTTCCAGTGCTGGGAGGCAGTTCTGAAGCAGACACAATCTTTATGGCTTCCAGTAGATAGAGATACACAGAATGGTGGCGATCACTAACTAAAAGCAGGGAAGAAACTTTCACCGTTTTCTCAATATTGGAATCCTAATCTGCAGTCAGTGAACTGAGACAAAGATAAATAACAACATTACTTCCCACCATCTTGGTTCCTGAGAACTTCCTAGATGGCAACGCGGAGTAGCCAAATTAGGTTAACCACAAGTCACTGAAGTTAAAAGGTGAGAAGTATCTTAAAAAGATCCTGAATGCTCTGTAGTTTCACAATTACCTAAAAAACACAGATTGCTGAATGGGTTGTTTTCAGAAGGACTAAAGCTCTAATTATTAAAACAGCATAGTGAATTATAAGCTAGCCTGTAAATCTGAAAATCACTCCTAAAATTCTAATCTTTCCCCTCTCTTCTTGGCTGGCTAAGGCTTTAGAAAGTTATTCAGCTTCAGTTTTCTAAGTCTTGAGCTTCTTATCTCCTCTTATTTTTAGTTAGAAAACTGAAGAACCAAAAGTTTCAGTCAAACATTTGAAGAAACTAGATTCTAAAAATGAAGCTAAATTCAGACAATCTGGAATCTAAAATTGAAAATACCACTTAGGAATATAAAATACCAGTTGTGGTTGTCAGCAGGGCAGATGGGTTTGCGTGTTTGTTTTCAAGGTCCATACACTCATGAGTGTAGGAGCAGAAGCTGGAGCCCCGGTACACACACAGCAAATCTATCAAAGGGCACTGTTACGCAGTCTATCCTCCATGGCTGATGAGAGCATTTTAGAGGTCAGGGAACCCTTTATATTCGGCGTAGTTCTAAGAGGCAGAACTATACAAATACCATGATTACAGCTCACTCAGGGCATCACGTAAGCAATGTAAGGTTACTTTTACTTCCTCTCATCCCATCTACTTTCACCACATGGAGAAGGAAGAGGCCAAGTTTTAGCCACAGAAAAGGGCAGCTGCTTTCCCAAGGAGTTTGATAATCCCTTGCATCACATGGTCCCAGCTTTAACTTCTATGAGGAACCCTAGGGAAATCCTGCTGTGGGAGGGAGGAGGAAGGCGGGAGGAGGGGTGGGTAGGTGTGTTAGAGAAAGAGACAGGGAGAAGGGCTTATATTCTTGGAAGACAGAGAAATACTAGCAACACAGTTTTTATAATTAACACTTTAATTAACTATTATCTGGTTGGTATATGTGCTATTTTCAACTGAGTCAAACATAAAACAAATAAGCAAGAGTTGTAAATTATAGCCATAGATAATTCAGTTACAGATTTCAAGAGTAGAAAAATCATACTGCACACCACCTTTGCTAGTATTAAACAGGCTCTTAATCAGACAAACCGTAAGCAGTAGCTTTATTTTAAAAGCTATAAAAACAACTTAAAAATAGTTAAAATCTGGACAGTTTGAAAGGGTAAAATTTGTTAAATAATCACAATTAGTATGAAAATATGCTTTAAAGGTTAAGAGCTTTAGTATTCAAAACTTTGGCAAGTTCTCAAAATCAAGATACAAGTCTTCAGTGAGTTTTCAGACATTGCATGAAAAATCTGGAATAATTATAGCATTGATCAGTAAAACCCAATTAGAAACAGTTATACCATAGCAAGCGGAAATGAATTACCTCGTCTTCGCCCATAACTCCTTGCTGCATGTAAACAAAGGACAAATTGTAAAATGTCAGAATGAAAGATAAGCCCACATACACAAGGATTTGTGAAATGAAAAGCTGTGTGGGCATCTGAAAATTAACACTACTTTAAGAGCTATGACACTGTCACGATATAACATTTGCATGAGGTTTTACCATTTACAGAGCACGCATATACACAGGTGCACACGTATACGTACATATGTGTGTTATCTCAACCACAGAAAACTACGAAATTAACAGGAGATGTACAGTTTATTCTCATTTGTGTTAAAATCCACAAATTCTGGTTTAATCTGATCATACAACATAATAGCATCATAAATAATTTTCACAATGAATGGAACTAACTTGAATTAAATTCTTGCTTTTCTACTTATTATAAAGACAGGTATGGCACATATAATCCAATAAATTACTATTCAGATCCAATCCACATTATGTGAAGCTCCGAATGGAAGTAATTCTGGACGACACAGATGACTGAGAAGACACCCCTCTACTAAACTGATACTCAGAAGTCCGCACAGCTCAGATAGAATCTAAGAAATCAATCCTTGTTCAAATTTGCTTGGTTACAGAAATTTAATGATATACTATAGCTAATAATGCCTGTTGATAAAGTAATAGCTACCCACTAAGTGTTTATATGTCTAATCCTGAGTTATGAGAGACTCAGGTACAAATTACTATTAAGACCTGGAATTAACTGATAAAGTCTAGGCAGTTAACAAACAAAAATAACTTACTAAAATTAAGATCTTATTTCATGTTCATAGAATTTTTTTTTTAGGCTGGGAAAAATTCATCATGTAATAAATCTTAGAATATGCATTAAAAGTTGTCAGAAGATCACATCATTAAATATATTCTCTTTTAAAAATGTTATAAAATATATTTCTAATTTTTTCTAAGATATTTAATATAGGGACGTATGCCTACATGGGGTGAATATAACATTGGTACCTCTGTTAAAAAAAAGTGAGAAAAACTACGTAGTCATTCATACCTCTAAGAAATAACTCAATGAACACAGGCTTATTACAGCCTTTTATCTAAATCTAACTTCATTTGCATTCTTGCCATTCTAGTGTCTTTATTTAGCTATATAATCTGCTATACTTAGCCTGTCCCAGAGCTCCAGCTACCTCAAAGCCTGGCAGGTTTATCTTGCAGCCTACCTGACCTACATATTAGTTTAGGGTGAGGGCAGGAGCAGAGGAGCCTTTAGAATCACGTCATCTATGTCTTTTAAGACTTATGAAGGCCTTACAAAAACAATCTCAAAGTGATGGGAAATCAGAAAAATGAGACTGACAGAAAATATTCTAACAGAGCTATCAGAAACAGGCTATAAAAAAGTAAATTCTCTGAAGTCTTAACAGTTATAGTAACATAGAAATGGTCAGTAGGCCCCCAAACACCCCACAGCATGATCAGGAACCTGGCCGCCTGCCCATCCCAAGGAAAGGCCCAGTGATACTAACCCAGGATAAGTCTGTTGGAAGGAATTTCATTCATGGGTGTAGAGGGTCAAAGATTTATAAAGCAAAATCCTATTTTCATCAAGTTTAAAGTCAAATGATGAATTATGAAGTCATAATGTAGCACATCATTTCTGACCTACTGAAAAAAATCAGTGACATCACAACCAGTTTATGTTCTTAGCTGAGGCTACTCAATACTAAAATGGAGAAAGTGTGTATAAATTTCATCGTATCTTAAGTTTCATCTCATTCCTAGGCTTGGACATAATAATTTAGAAAAGTTCTCCAACTATCTCATACCTGAGGAATTTTAGAATCCTGTGAAGAGTTATTCCACTTATTTTTTGGACAACTTTCAGATTCCAAGTCTCTACATTACCAAAGATAGAACTGAGTGCAGATGAAGCTAAACCATCTGAAACACCTCCTGTTCCCCGTTATGGAAACAACCAATCTACTACCATCACACAAAACCACGGTGTGTGCACTCACTTTCCGACCAACGTTCTTACGTGAATTCCTGGAGTGTGTTCCACTATAACTCTGAACAGGATTATCAGAAAACTATCAGTGAGGAAAAATCCCTGTGTGACTATTATACAGTTTAAAAAAGACTTCTTTAAACAAATATTCTTCTCCAAACTTACTAAGAACGTGATATAGAAAAAAAAAAGATAGGGGAAATTTATTGTATCAAAATTGTATTTATAACAAAATTTCAAGTAGATATGTTATATAAAGCATTATTAAAAACTACAAAAAACTCATTTATACAAAAGGAGGAACTGGCTATTTAACAAACATATGCATACCTATGTATATTTGTTAACAATACATTATTCATGTGTGTGCTTATTTCAGATAACAAGGCGGCTCTGGAAAAAGCCTGGAGACCTCTCCTGTAAAAATGACCTTACAATTTGGGCCTAACTTCCAAATAATCTTGGTGGTGCCCCAGAACCGAATGGTTCCAACCTTTTGACAGGTGTACTGTGAGCGGCTCACCCAGCAGCTGTGGGAGGAGGGCCAGGCTCACAGGCCACGCGAGCTGGGAACTCGGGCTACAGCTCTCTTGGTGAGGAAACTAAGTTTTTATTTCTTCAACTTGAAAAAGCCAAAACTAAGGAGGGAAATATACACCCCAAATCATAATCCTTTTCAAGACTCAAAAGAAATCTGTTTATTGACTCCACTAGCTCCCCCACCATACACAAGAACTGATGGCTCACAAGTTTCCTTTCTTTAGGATGATTTCACACGGGGCATTAGAAGATGTCTTCAGAGATACAATTTTGTTACTGAGTAGGTTCTCTTAACTAAAAACTATACATACCTTTTTTCTTCCTAAAAAGTATAGAACTCTCTTGTTCGCATACATATCTGCATGTGGTAGTGACAGCAAATTTAAATTTCAAACTAGCTTGCTAATAAAGCAATGCCTGGCCTCTACCTCCACCCTACCCCATACTTCTTTCTGCTTTTGTTTCCCTTTTGAAGAACCATTTGCCTTCATAGAAATGTAAGCTGTTTTCCTTGGAAAGGGGGTGGAGAGTACAATGCAACCCAAACAGAAATGCCTGAATCATCTATTATTTGTATTTGTTCCTTACTACTATGGACACAGAGGGGTTTTTTGTTGTTGTTATTGTTTGTTTCTACTACTGGTAATAAAAAGATTTATACACTTAGAAACAGAAACATTCAAGTTGTCATTCTAACTTCAGCAAGTACTGAGTCTTTGGATTTCAGACAATCTACACATCCCTGTATTATGTGACATCCTTAAAGTGTCTCTGGACACTTTAATATGGACTCTTCCACAATATCTTAATAATTTAAGAGTGGCAGCCTTCAGCTGTCAATTCAATGTAATTTGAGGAACACGGTCTGTTCAGAAGTAGGAGACTGACAGTCGATATGTGACATTTTAAAATTGTTTTTAAAATGTTTTTATCTCTGTAACAACTTAATGAGATACGGAGCTGTGGTATTATACCACTTTTTTTAATCTCCCTGAGTCAACAGAGGCTCAGAGTTAAGGATCTGCCAGAGGCACATCATAGTTTTACCAGGTTGAACAATTTCCAGACTATTATCCATTCCCTGTTCATCCCTTACTAAAGAAATTTTTAAAGGTTTAACCATAATTGCTAATTAACCATTAACGTAGAACCATAAAAACTTCAAAATTTCGTCATATCTGCCTAACAACTTTACTATTATTTTTACAGTGCTTTTTATAAAAGGAATTCAATCGTAGCATCTTATAACATCATAGATTTCTGTCAGTTCTATTTTTAAAGAAATGCTCTTTAATTGTAATAGTCCTACATTTATTTTAATGTGTATCTGTACATCAAAAGTCATCTTACGTACTCCACGGAGCAAGGACACTACACATCTGAAAACACTGGCTTAAGAGTTATTGACCCAAATTTTGTCCCAATATAGCTTCTACCAATGGTTCTAGCTTGGCTTTCTGCAATAACATAAAATGAGCTTTCTTGGGTAACTACCTATAATTATCTTTCAAATAATCGAAAATATCAGTTTTCTCTCAGTTCTATACTCTTCAAAGAAAACACCCAACTCCTTCCCCTATTCATGGGATGCGATTTTCACTCTTTCAGGGTCTCCTTCCTCACTTTCCATTATCACCCACTGCCACAGCCAACATTCACTTTCAGAACAGCTCTAAATAATTTCCTAGCGTGGATTCACTCACTGCCCCCTCAGAGCAGTTCCCCGAGGCAGGTGTTATGCCATCTCTGTTGTAGACTTGGAGAAGCACAGTCACAGTGAGGTTACAGAAACTGCCCGAGGTTCCACAGGTGGAAAAGCAAACTTGTGTTTAAACCCAGATAATCCGGCTCCAGAGTCCAAGGTACCAACCACTAAAAACGATGGCTAAACCATTACAAAACTAGACTAATGCAAAATTTATTAGTAAATACTGATTTTTAAAGTCATTAATATTAGCTATGTTGACTGGTTAAGTCATGTAACTTTACTTAACCAATTGCCTAATAGTGAGTTAATCTGTGATACACTTAAAAAAACTTTAATAATTCAGAAATGTGACCACATGGTCTATGTACTATGAAATAACATGATTGCTTTAATTAGCCAATAACATTTAATAAATACTTAGTATCATGACAGCTTTAATACTAATATCCTTTAATTTCTGTATCTCCTAAGGAGATATTGTGACAAGAATACAGTTATATTAAATCAAAAAAACAGCTCAAGAAAAATTTTCCCTTAATGTTTTAGTGCCCTTCTTTGCCTAGTTCTCTCTCCAATAATCTTAAAGTTCACTGAAATTATTTACATTCTTAATATTCCCACAAACACATAATACACCCAATTGTATAATTCTTGCTTTGCCTTTTAATCAATGCTCCCAAGAGTGAAGAAATTTTCTCTTTGGATAAAAGTGCCTCTTCCTGGCTGAAACATATTTTTATGACCTAGTTTCATTATCTTTTTCTCTCCCCTAGTCCCTTGCCAGAAACAGTTCAGAATTTCCAGTTGGCTTCCTGCATCGAGTCTGCACTGTGGCTCCAAGTGGCAGACTGCTGAGCGCTCACATGATAATTTTTTATTTGTCCACAGATGCAACTCTTGCCTGAAATGTGATAAAACACTTTTCAGCCTAACATCTATATTATTTATAAGGGCTCTGGCAACTGACAGAATCAATCCATAATGTTTAGTGTAACCAAAAATATTAAGTTGACTACCAAGCTCTGTGCTTCCACATAACTGAAGTAGTAAATGCTGTGAACACAGGCTCTTCTGGATCATCCCTGCTCACTAGCCATTCAGTAATTTAAAAACATCTGTGAGGATCTAACAAATTACCCCACAGACCGTTTTCCTTCAGATGGACTTTAAGAGAATATGTGAAAAATACATACATTCAGGTTTTTTGACAGAAACATTTTTCTGTTTTTCTAGAAATTAGAATAAAAATGTGAGTGATGTGTCTCACTTAGAATGTTAAAATAAAGTATTTAAGGAAACTGGACTGATACATAAATAATTTATTGTTATTTTATAAATCTCTTCAAGGGAATACCAAAAGCTATAAGCTATTTTCAGTTCTGTAATGTAAACTTGATTGCAACAAAATTTTTTTTGGTCATAAATTTAGAGTTGGAGACCAGCTACTCAAATGATAAGGCTTTTATCTTACACAGTAGAAAAGAAATTAAATAAAGATGTCCTTAAATGCAATTTCTAGTACCATTCTAATGAAAGTCATAGATACAGATATCGATGTAAAAATATCACAATTGACTAAGTTCACAAATGTGGCCTATAGGACCATGGTACGGTCTGGTTCAGACACGGCTTCTGTCAGAGTGCTCATTCTGGACTTAGTCCAGTAAGTGCTCATTCTGGGCTTAGTACTACCTAGGCAATTCTGCCTCTACGCATCCTGAAAGATTCTCACTAATTAGGCCCAGTGCTTAGACAAAGCTGGCATGTGGCTGACTTCTCAACACATACCAATGAGATGTTAAACAAACCCATCAAAATCCCCTCACTCTGCTTCATCAATTTTTTCTTTCATTCCCAAATTTTCCATCTACTTCGACAATGTCCCAGGTGGCCTGACATTTAGGTTCTACTTTTCTGTTACTACAGACTTTATTTATTATTAGTTTCAAGTGGTCTAGCTTTACACTGACCTTATATTCAGGCTTCTTTCCCCTAACTTCACTGCAATCATATTTCAACAAAGCTTTAGTTGAACTAGAAGAGCCGAGCCATTCCACTGATATTATGATTTTTAAAGAATACTATTTCTAGTCTTTCCTCTTCCCATTGCCCTTTCTCCACCCACCCTTATTTAAAAATACTTTCCTGAAGGATATTTTAATCCTCCATCCCCCTCCCACAGTCATGGATGTGTTAAGTACTGCTACTCTTTGAGTATGTTAATGTTTGTCCAATAGGAAAAAAAAACAAACTTTAGTAAAAGGTTATTCTTTTACTTACTCCGGTGCACTTCACCATGTAAACTATCTATCTAGTTTGATAAATTTGATGTGACCACCATATTAACAGAGTCATTAGTATGTTCCTTAGTTAAACACAAGTGCTATGCAAAGTAGCAAATTCTGTACACCTTGCAAACATTATCTCATTTAATTCTCACAATAAACCTTAAGGTGGTATTCCCATTTCACACATGGGGAAACTGAGGTCATAGTTACTTGCCCAAGGTTATACCTTGAACTGGAAAACCAATATTCCTACTAGGACTGCCTCCAAAGTCTGTGATCGCTGAATTAAAACCACACCATCACAAACACTCTTTAACAACTGCTTTACAGCCAGAACACCACGCTCAGATTCTTAATTCTGCTTTCTATATGGAAATAGTCATAGTTTTATTTCTATACTTATAAAATGACTACTTGTGCGTATAGGGGAGGTTCAGAGAAACATTTATTTACATAATCAGAAACATAAAATGTTTTTATAAAACTTACCATTTAACATCAACAGATTGTCAGTTCCTGGATGAGGATAGCTCAATCGACCTTTAAAAAGACAGGAAAGAGGAGTTTGAAGGTTATGGAGTTATTTGAAAAACAAAACAAACAAACAACAACAAAGGCAGGGTAAGGAAGAAATTATTGAGCACAGTCTGTTTCTTAAGAACTAAGAAGCTAACGTTTAGCTCAAAGTATATTAACTGAAATTATCTTTGAAAGTTGAGAAAAAAACAAAAATCCCCAAAACAGTTAAACCTTGGTTTCTAGATCATGAGATCACAATGTGATTTGGGAGCAATGCCAACAGAATAAAGCTTATTTGTTTTTTGAAATGAAAAAACAATGTAGATATCCTAGCTTTGCAAAGTTAATAAGGGACATGAACTTTTAAGAAATCTTTTCAAAGCTGTTTATCATTTTCTCTATAGATCTCTTTTCCTAAAAAAAAAATTCTGAAGAGAAGGAATTTATCTTCCTAAATCAAAACAATTAAAATGTTAAAAACTAAGCAGACAAAAACTCATCACAACTTGTCATTTAAGTCAATATGGCTTTACAAAGTCATATTTAAACAAATTGCTGAAGGCATCTTAAATGTACAGTCACAAATATTATTGGAAATTTAACTTGCTCAAAATTTACAAATGACTTAAAAACACAAAAAATGAAAATATAAATGCTGATAAGCAGAGTCATTGTTCGCTCCAGAGTTCTGTGTTCACCAAATGCAGAGGGGACAGCAGAGTCCACACTGCCGGGGAGACGAGAAAGGTGCGTGTGGGACACACCGGGGTTGTCCTGAGCTTTGACATCAAAACACTTGTGTGACAAAGTCCAACAGCAAGTATGATCAGTGTTTCTAGTCTACTAAAACAACCCAGAATTTTCCTCCAATGCCTGAATCTCCAGTAGGCTATTAAAAAGGTACATTAAACTCTTATTTAGAAACTGCTAAAAAGTTGGGAGCAGAAGTGCACAGGAAGTGCCAAGTGGAAGAGCAGGAAGTGGAGCTGCCGAACTGGACACAGGAATCAGCGCACCGCCGCCAAGTGTCACCGCTTACTCTGGAAACGTTCCTATTTCTAAACATCTTGCTGCAGTTGGCCCAGTTTAGAGAACAATTTAAGGCTGTGAAAAAAATTATCTGGCTGAAGATTCAAAATAAAAACAACTCCTCCAGAAGTGGTAACCTGTACTGCTGCTGAGTGTAAGGAAGGTGGCTCCGCCCTTCACACCGACCCAGTGCAGGAGGCAGACACAAACATGCGTGCGGCCACCTCTGTTTATGATGTAGGCAGCAGACACAAATATACAGTCTCAGTGAAATCTGCTACATGCCAGAAGAGTTACGCACAGTGTGATATATTCAAAAAGGAAAGGTAACAACAATGGCATATTTAGACAAACCTAAGGATTCACGCAAGACTTCTAAGAAAAGTAAACTGAGAAGAATCTTAATCTGAAGCCTACTTCCATCTTGAAAAGCAACTCAACTTTAAATCACCACATAACTATTCTCCAATGAGCTCACTGTTCATTTATGTATCCCAGGAGGAAGGAACAAGATACGTTCACTACTAACAGTTTTCAGATTGTCACAGCTCTCAAAGACACACTGTGTGAGGATAGTAGCAGGCAGATACCTATGTGCAAATGAAAATAAATTTGTATCCATGTTCTAAAATATTACCACCCTCCACACAGAAAAGTCTCTCAGCATAACTAAAAAGAGTATTCCCAAATGAAATAACCAAATTCAGACTCATTTTTAAGTATTCAGTTTTCACTAAGAACCTGCCAACTGACAGTAAGAAGTGACAACATTTGAGGATTTACTTGAACCAGGAGCTCTTCTAAGTTCTTTCCAATCAAGCATTTAATCCTAACAACAGTCCTATGAATTAGATACTATTATCTCTCCATTTTAAGAGGAAGATACTGTGTCACAGGAGATGATATCCTGGCAGGTAGTTGTGGAGGGGTCTGAATGGAAGCAGTCTGGCTCTGCACTTAATCACGACCTTAACACTGACTTACTATTCATAACACATCATTGCAAAGGTATGGATGGTGGGTTGTAGGTCAAATTCATCTCTTAAAAAATTCATAGAATAAATATATAGTATATTAGATAACTTAAACTTTAATAGAAAAAATCACATTACTATGAAATAAATTTCTCTCTATTGTGTAAAAGAGGCTGGCCCAGAGATGGTCAGTTGTTCCATTAATATTGCCAATATTCCTGTCCGTAAGAGGACTCTGGCTATCAGACCTGAACAGGGGAGCCCAGAGGAAAGAGCTCCCCCCACCCCAGCCTTCCCTGCCGTGCAGTGTGCCTGTGTCAGAAGTGGGCAGTGGGAGATAGAGTAAAACCGGCATGTGCCATTTCTGGGACACGCTGCATCCTTAAAAGGGCCCTGCTTCCTTCCTTCCCTCTTCCCTGTCTGGTGGAATGCAGCTATGATGCTAACCTGAAGAGGCCACATTAGAACACCAGGCTGAAACTGGGTGTGAAGGGGAACCAACAGAAGACCAAGACCAAAGCAGCATGGATCACAGAGACCCCCACACCGCTCTGTGAGAGAAACATACTCCGTGTTACCTAGGTTACTTAGGAGTTCTCTGTTGTTCCAGAAGAAACGAAGCTTACAAATAAAGTACTCTAGAAGTAAATTTGGGAATACTACATTTGAGGTAATCAGTGTAGCAAATCTGAAATGGAAATAATAATGTTTGTTATAAGAAATAATAATAATGTTTATTATTGTAGATATATGATAAAGTATACTAATTTCATAATGCTTTTATACATCTGGGTATGTACTACCTCTTGGCACTTCTTTTATGTTAAGATAACATATGATTTAAAATAATTGAAAAAAATGTACATTTGTAAGTGTCAGCGAATTACTAGAAAACCTACAGTATCTTAGAAACTGCCTTGCTCATCTAGTATGACTTAAATGTCAACTTGCATAATAATATGTACACAGTTGGCCTCTTGATCTGTGCATTCTTCATCTATAGATTCAACCAACTATGGATGGAAAAATACTTGGAAAAAATAAATTCCAAAAAGTAAAACTTGATTTTTTTAAATTTCGCACACTAATTACAACACTGAGTCCTGCACATGATGTTGCAGCATTGTAGCAGACATTATAAGTCCTACCTAGAGATGATTAAAGTACCGGGTGGCCATCAAGTTCCTGAGCAATTTTAAGTTGCACACTATTTTAAACTGTACATGAACTTGATGGCCACCCTGTATATAAAATGTCGGGTGTATCTTATATGTAAATATTACACTATTTTTTAAGGGACTTGAGCATCCCAGATTTAGGTATCCATGTGGGTCCTGGGACTCAGCCCCACCTGATTTTGTGTTAGCCACTGTGAATGTATATTTGAGCAACTAAAACTGCCAAGAAATATGACAACTGTATACAACTGGTCACTAGTAGACCCAGATGACCAGATTACATTTAGGCCCCTCATCCCCCACCATTCTATCTACACTGGCCTCTCTGCCTTACCATAAATATGGCATATGTCCATTTGGGGATCTTTCAACTTCCTCTGTTTTTCTGCTTGAAATTCACAGCCCAGAGATGACCAGAGCCTGCACACCTCATTTCAGTTAGGTCTTTAAGAGAAGACATCACAGATCAGCCTGCCTAAAATAACAGCTTCTTTCTTTTTACAACCCCCTGATGTTGGTTTTTTTTTTTTTTTTTTTGGTATTTTTTCTGGCACTGTTATCTAACTTTTTAAAACTGTCTTTATACTTCTTTTAAAGACCCATGAAGGCAGGGACTTTGTCTCTTTTATTCTCCACTGTATTTCTAGTACCTAAGGCAGAGCTTAGCACATAATAGCTACCACAAAATTCGCTCATTGCTCTTTGCCAAAAGAGATTTTTCCACAACTATTTTCTTTTCTTTAATGAATAAACACACAATGAACTCCAAAGCCCCAATATTCACAGTTAATGATATCAATCCATTCCTCATCAGTGATGAGAAATTTGCTAAATAACAATGCCACATGTCCTGCCAACTCTTTTCAACAGAAAAATAAACATTTAGATCACATTTTAGAATCATTAAGAACTTGGGTCAGAAATCACATCAGACCCACTAAAAAGAGAGGCAGGATTGTGTAGTGGTTAAAGCACAAACTTAAGAGCCACCAAGTTCCATCATTTACTGGCAGGTGAAAATTAAACAATTATTAAGAATAAGCCACAGTCATCCACAGTAAAAAAAAAGGTAAATATACACCTTTTAGTCAAGCCAATTAAATACATTAGAAATGCTAGGTAGAGCCCTCAGGAGAAGTGCTTAGATGTGTCACATGCGGTAAATAATATGCCCATGTTCTATATTGTATATGCACATTAAACACATATCATCTACTACGCCTTTCTTATGTGCATAAGTAAAGCACTGCTCCCACTCATTTGATAGATTCTTCTAATATAGTTCTTAATAACATACCAAAGTCAATTAAAAAACAGATTGATATGCAGTCTGGTAAAATCCACTTAGAATGTGGTCATTACCAACCTTGAATAACCCCAATCTCTGCTCAGATCCAAGGGGCAGGACAGTCATTCCTGACCTCACTCCCAAATCTCAATGCAAGCCTCATTAAAGCCTAAGAATAAGATCATACAAACGTAGAAGAGATCCTTAGATCCAAGGCACCAGATCCTAAGAGAGCAAAAGAATCTAATAAAAACCATCAATCTACTTCCGATTTAGTTGAAATTAATCTTGTTAACTCACTCTTGAATCTTGAACCTGTCATAATTTTTTGACCTAATAGTATTTATAAATTCTAAGACTTTTATGCAATCAATACTAGAAAATATACTAAGAAACACCAAAAAACACAGAATATCAGAAAGTTTTAAGTAAAGTGCAATCACAAAAAAAGCCAATAAAAGACTAAACTAAAGTCATCACATCTGGTAAGATAAAGTATTATTATATATTAGTTATTATAATCAGTGGTATTAATTAGGATATATGGCATTT